TGTGTAGAAGTCATTTTTTTAAAATATAAATTTAATTATTTGTGTTGTGACAAAATGGATTTTAAATTTTTATTTTCCGTTTGTTTTTATTACAAAAATTATTTAATAAATTTCGTGTTACATTATTTGAACCAAATTCCTGGATTTATGTTTATCATTACTTGTTTTAGTAGTATAACATCAATTTTTGGTTCTTATGTCTTTGCAGCATGGTGGAAATTCTATTTTTCGTGTAACATAATTATTTATATTGTTTAAAGTAGAATTACAATAGTGTAACCAAATGCCAGGGTAAAGTGTAATAATGAATGTGTATTCAAATTTTGCACATAAACGCCTTCATATATTCTAAGTCTAGATCAGAAAAGATCAGAAATTCCATTGACATTTTATTAGTAAACTTTTTGGTGTGAATATGGGAAGGAAACGAAGCAATTTTGGACCTTGTGAAATTTGTAATTTTAGCAATTATGAAAACACTACCTTCCGGAAGTTAAATGAAGATTCCTTACGAAAAGTTTTGTCTAATAACAAAGAGAATTTATGTGTTTTAGAAATAGGTTCACAGTTATGCCATAAATGTTACAATGATCTTGTAGTATATGATAGGAATGATAAGAATAATAAGAATAATGATGATGAAAATTTTTGTTTAAAATTACCATTACATGAAAAAAAAGAAAATTTATTTTACATGAAGCTGAATATAATGAATTAATAAATAAATCATCAGAAAATATTCAACTTAAGGCAAATATTCAATTTATACAAAATGAATTAGACCAATTAAAAGAAAATTTTGATGAATTATTTTTAATATCAGGCAAATAATTTATATTTTAAATATAATATAAAAGCATCAAAAAATTTTACATTTTATATATATGTTTATTATACTTATTTTAATATTACTGTTTATTTATTTTTAGAAGAAACAAATTTTTGTAAATATTTTACAAAAGAAATAGAAATTTTAACAAAAATTTTATACGATGCTCAACATAAGGAAAAAATAAATCCAATCTATAATGTAAACAATTTTATGGAATATGTGAGTAATAAACATCCTGGATTTGTTCATTTTTTTAATACATTAGTTCAATCAACAAATATTAAAAATAAAAATCAAAAAACAATTGAAAGTATTAAAAAAAAAATTATGGTATTAATTTACCAGTTAGTAAGTATTAGAAATAAACATTGTACTTATTTTAAAGATGATATGGGATTGTTTTTAGTCGGAACTGGCACATCATGTTCTGGAATTAACATGCTATCAAATGTTGGCTTATCAACTACTTATCGTTCATTAATTAACAAAATGAATAAAATAGAAAAAGATCATGCTTTGAGTGTACTAGAATATTTAAAAAAAAAGGTAAATAATTTTATTTATATTTTATAATATTTTATAATATATATATTATTTATTAAAATTAAAATTAAAAATTTTTTTTTAGAAAATTAATACTTTTATTTTAAATATAGATGACTATCATGACATACACCAATCAAGAATGCCAAATACTACTTCAACTTCACAAGTTGCACATATGATGACTATGACAATAAATACTCCAAATATCCCTTCAATTTATTACTTATCTCCATCTGGATTCAAAGTACATAATCCAAATCTTGTAGACTCTAATAGTTTAATATATTATTTATATAATACATATATGAACAAATTTAGTGTTAGTTATATAAATAGAAAATCATTTTGGTCAGTTCCAGAAATGACTCTCTTACCTGAAAAAGAATTAATAAACACATTATCAATTCACTCATACAATACCAACTGGATTCAAGAAGATATGTATAATATACGTACAATGGATTGTGTTAAGTTGATTGAATTTCAAGAGTTGAATCTTAAATCACTGGATGATTATTTAAAAGCAGCAAATTTTTTATTTCAATTTTCTGAAATTCAAGATTATATTCAAACAAATATAATCCCAATATCAGCTGACTGGCCTGGCCAGTTATATATTCGTAGTGCAATTACTCAAAAAATTTTAAAGTTAAATAATAATATTCCTGATCAAATAACTAAGTTAGTTCCTTTAATTGGTCCTCTACACATCTCACTAAACACACGTGAAACAACATATAAAATTTTTTATCCTTTTTTTAATAAGCTCTATTTGTATGTTTTTAAGGCTAAAAAAGATCTTGGAGAAAGAATATTTCCATGGAAAATTAATTTACTTCTATATCTAAGTTATGGTGGTTGGAAGTTAGTTAGGCAAGAAATCTTAAAAAAATTTAAACTATGTAAAGATATTGAATATGCAACTAGTATTGACTTGTTAGATAATATCATTCCCTCTGTGTTGGATATTTATGGAGTTTTATTTCGAGGAGGATTTTTCGATGAATATATTGAAACTTTATTTCGTGTATGGACTTTTATGGCAAGATTTAAAAGAAAAAATTATGATAAGGCTATTTTGGCTTTTCTAAGTGATATTTTTTACTGGAATCAAATTAATCATCCAATTTACAATTTTATTAGGCAATACTTATCACTATTTCATGATGGTTATGTAGAAAACTTTCACTCTTTATTACGTAGATACACATCTGATAAAGGTTTTGATCCAAAAAGATTAAGGCGTGATGCTTTAGTTATAGATACTGAAAAACATAATAATAATTTTTTAAATGCATTTGTTGAAAAAAAAAAATATCCTTATTCAAAAAAAAATATAGATTGTATGCTAGAAAGATCAGCTATATTTTTATTACAATACTTTGAATCAGTTTGGAATAATTTAGGTAAAACACAAAAACTTACAAAAAGAAAAGCAAATGAAAAACAATATTATGATCTTCCAACAATGGGTAAATTATGGGAAGTTGCTTTACCAACAGCTTTTCTTTCATCACACATTCCTAATACTCAAAAATTTTGTGATGCCAACTTTTGTAAGATTTTAGATCAAAATATTCCAAGCTATTTTTTAACTTGTGGTCATTCATTTCATATTATTTGTTTTAACAGGCAAAATAATTTATGTGTTTATTGTTACCAATATTTTTCAGAAAAGATTAATCAATTAGTTCCTTCTTTTATTGAAAGATTGAAAAAATCTGGACAAGATAACAATAAAAAAAAGAAAAAAAAGAAAGACAATGATAATGATAGTAGTAGTTCTGAAGATGAAAAAAATATTAATGATAATGATGAATTTATAATTTTTCAAAATGATGATTCTGCAAATAAACAATTAACTGAAGCATTAAATAAGTACCAACAAAAAATTATTTTAACTTTAAAAATTTATAATTTAAATTAATAAAAAAATATTTATCTAAATTATCCAATAGGTTTCATAAAAATTGTAATCAATAATAATATTAAAAATTAATATAATATTAAAAAAATAAAATTTTTTTTTGATCTTCAAATGTTACACAAAAATGGGAATTTCCACCATGCTATTTTTACCAACCGCCATTTTTTTCTTAACACCCTGTATGTCATTATATATTCGTCATTCATAATTAATTCGTCACCCGTAATTGATTTCGTCACGCGTAAAAAGTCACGTGTAATTAATTTCGTCACCCGTCGTAATTACGCATTACGTACTATGTTTTTGGAAAAACAATTACCACCCCACGTATATACGTAATAATAATAAATAAATTAATCAATCATATTTATATACTTTAATTTCTTTTTTTGATAAATTAATAAATTTATCCTTTATTTAATTGTTTTAGTAGATTCAAATAGATTTTATTAGATTAAATGGTACAGCAAAATTTTGGAGAATCAATTACATGAAAACACACATGATAAGTATACATAGCTTGTAGTTAGGTCCTGTAGAGTATGCATGCAAAATTTTGTGTTTCCTGATTTTCTTCTTTATTATTATTATTATTAATTTAAATTTTGATTATTAAAGAAAAAGAAAGATATAGGAAATTTTGCATGCATAATTCATAGGCCCACAAACCACATATTCAACCCTGTTATTCTGTTTAAAATTAGTATTACAATTAACAAGTTAATTAGTTTCAACTAAATAAATTAAATAAATAAAATAGTAAATATTTTATTTAAAACTTTTATCTTCTTTAAACAAAATTATCCGCTAATACCAAAATCAATTCATTGATAATCTATTCATTCTGATCCACACAAATACAAAAATAATTGTTATCACCCACAAGATTTTAAGTTAAACGTCGCAGTGGCATATCCATGAATTTATTTGTTAAGTATTTTAATATTAATATTAATATAATAATAAACTAGGGAATAATAATAAAACAAAAACAGGACAAAACAACGGATTGTTTTTCTTCGCAGGAGCAGTAAACATCAATTAACTAACTACTGTAAATATTAATATTATTATTATTAATATTAAATAGCTTGCTTGTTAAACCTTTTTTTTTTTAATATATTGCAAAAAAACGCAGTGGCAAGTAGAAAAGATTGACTTGTTCCATAACATGATAAATTACCACCTTATCAAATTTTGCAACCCTTCCCAATCTTTTATATTCTTCTGACGCTGCTTTAGAGACCTCTAATTGAGCAGAGTCAAAACTGAGAATATGCAAGTTTTTCAATGAAGGAGCTCGGCTCATTGCAATGTATATTTGTTCTTCATCAACATTCAACAATGTGGTTGGGCTTGTTTATACACTCCCTGGACAAAAGTTTCGGTCACCATAAAACAATTAATTGCACAAAAACATACATAATAAAACACAAACAAATTTCATCAAATTGTCACTAAAGAAGTTCTCAAAAATATGTATACAAAATTTCAAATTTTTGTAATGTTTGGGAAAAAATAAAAAGTTCGACCAAAAATCTTCTGAAAAATCGTAGTTTGCCAAAAAAAAAAAACTGTTTCTCAGAAACTTACATAATAACCACACCTGAAATCGTGACATATGTAAGATTAGATTCTGAAAAATTGCGTCATATGTTTTTTATACAAAATTAAAAAATGTCAATAAAGTAAAAATTTTGAAAAATTGGCCAAGTCAATCTCCTGATTTGAATCCAATAGAAAATCTGTGGAATCAATTAGAAATTTGTATTTGGGAATGTTCAAATAAATTTAAAAATAATGTTGAACTTGAGACCACTTTACTTGAAAAATGGAATCAAATTCCTAGAAATATTTATATGAATTTGATAGAAAGTATGCCAAGAAGAATAGAAGCTGTTATACCCAATAATGGGTGGCCAACAAAGTATTGACTTGCATAAAAATAAGGTGTGGTTGTGCATTTTTTTTTTTTTTTTTTTTTTTTTTTTTTTTTTTTTTTTTTTTTTTTTTGTTTTAGAAGTGGTATAAATTTTCTGAAAAATTATTTTTGGTCGAACTTTTTATTTTTTTAATATTAACTGTTATTCTCCCAAACATTACAAAAATTGAAATTTTGCATACATATTCTTGAGAACTTTTTTAGTCACAATTTGATGAAATCTATTTGTGTTTTATTATGTACGTTTTTACATTGATTGTTTCGTGGTGACCAAAACTTTTGTCCAGGGAGTGTATATGGCCCAAATGGCCAGCAATTTGATTAAATTTTTTGGCTTCCACTAATTACACTGCCAGTGAAAGAGATGGTCTTAATGAAGCACGTAGATAAAAAAATGGATGTATGTTTTGTTTTAATTTAATTAGTTGTTTTTTTTTTTTTTTGACGAAAGGATATTATGAATTTGATCAATTAACATTCCTTCATTTTATATTCATTTCCATTACTCGAATTTAGAAGGCATTCTTAAACTAAAGCTTAATTCTATTTTAAGAAATTTATTTTTATAAATTAATTAAAATGTTGAAACATTTAACAGTGGCTTTAATTATTTAAACATAAGTTTATCTACTATTATATAAATCAAAGGGATGGAAGGGATGTAATTCATAGTCAGCTTAAGCTTTTTTTATTGGTCTGACATCTTTTCTTTCTTTTTATTATAAAATAGAACTTCCATCCGTTTAAAAAAAATTTTTGGCGGCGCTTAACTTAACTTAACATTAACGTTAATGCAAATGATGATGTTGACGTTGATGTCAACTCTAATGTTAACGTTAATGTTAACTTTAACTACTCTATATACACAACGCAATCATTTTTGTAACACTTGAAATTTCCTTTTTTTTTCGAAAAATTCCTTTTTTAAACAAATCCTGATCAAAAATCTCCTTTTTAAAGTTAAATACGTTGCACTAAATTAAATCATATTAGTCTGACGACATTTCACAGTGACTGATTTTAATATATGATCGACATGACACGTTTTCTGTACAATGGACTTTGGCGAATGA